TGGGCGTGGTGGTGCATGCCTATAATTCCAGCTACTTGGGAGGAGAATTGCTTGAATCCGGGAGGCAAAGATTGCAGTGAGCCTAAATAGGTTCAAAATAAAGGAATGGAGGAATATTTACCAAGCAAATGGAAAGCAAAAAAAAAAAAAAAAAAAAAAAAAAAAAAAAAGGATAAGAAATCTGACCTCAGAGGACTCTTGTGAGGTACTGATTAGGTTACACACATAAACTGTCCCTTGTGGGGCACGGTGGCTCACGCCTGTAATCCCAGCACTTTGGGAGGCCGAGGCGGGCGGATCACCTGAGGTCAAGAGTTTGAGACCAGCCTGGCCAATGTGGTGAAACCCCATCTCTACTAAAAATATAAAAATTCGCTGGGCATGGTATTGCGCGTCTGTAATCCCAGCTACTAGGGAGGCTGAGGCGGGAGAATTGCTTGCAGTGAGCCGAGATTGCACCACTGCACTCCAGCCTGGGCGACACAGTGAGACTCTGTCTCAAAAAAAAAAAAGGGCCCCTCACAGGGCTGGGCTCTTAAGCTCAAAAATGGTAATTTCTACAGCTCTTGGGCCTGCCTATGCCTCTCACCAGAAAGAAGGTTCTCTCTGCTGACCTGGCTTCCTGGGCTCTGTAGGGACTTCAGGAGGGATCTCTTCAACTCTCTCTGGAATTGCAGCCTCTAAGAGGTGTCGAATCTTTGGGGAGGGATTGGAAACAAAAGATAGGGTTCAGCTTCAGCCCCCTGCTTTCCCACTTTCACAACCTTCTTCAACAATGCACAGTAATCTCCTTTTATGCCTAATTCTCGTTGCACTGACATCAGCTTGCAGTAAACTCACCCGCCATCTGGCCTCCTTTCCTCAGTTCCTGTTCTCACCTCCCTTCCCAACCCAAACCCCAGTTATCTAGCCCTCATCAATTTGTGCAAGAAGGCCAGGCGTGGTAGCTCACGTCTATAATCCCAGCACTTTGGGAGGCCAAGGTGGGTGGATCAGTTGAGGTCAGGAGTTCGAGACCAGCCTGGCCAACATCATGAAACCCCATTTCTACTAAAAATACAAAAATTAGCCGGGCGTGGTGATGGTGCCTGTAATTCCAGCTACTCGAGAGGTGGAGACAGGAGAATTGCTTGAACTCAGGAAGTGGAGGTTGCAGTGAACTGAGATTGCTCCACTGCACTCCAACCTGGGAGACAGAGCAAGACTGTCTCAAAAAAAAGAAAAAAAAAAAATTGTGCAAGAAGCAGTGCATCGTCAACTGTTGTGGCTGACAGAGGTGAACAAAAAAGATTCTTGATCTTAAGGAGGTCTAGTGGGGAGACAAGGTTGTATGTAACCCCTCAAGAGTCAAGGCAAAGGGTAAAACAAGGCCCTAGCAAAGTGCTGAGTTCCCAAACCGCATTTGGTTCCAGCTAAGACTGGGATAAATATTTCATAGAGAAGGGCAGCATTTAAGCCAGGTCTGTAAGAATATGTAGAACTCGACTTGTAGAGGATGAGGGGTGACCATTATGGGCTAGGGAAACAGCACAAGCAAAGACATGAATGTGGTATCATTGAGGCATAAGGGCCAAACTAGTGTTTAGGAGCCACAGATGCCCAGAGGACTGAGAGAGAAGTCTGGGGATGACTAGTTCTAAACCAGGGTATGTGCCGGGCATGGTGGTTCACGCCTGTAATCACAGCACATTGGGAAGCCAAGGCGGGTGGATCACCTGAGGTCAGGAGTTCAAGACCAGCCTGACCAACATGGTGAAACCCCGTCTCTACTAAAGATACAAAAATTAGCCAGGCATGGTGGCAGGCACTTATAATCCCAGCTACTTGGGAGGCTGAGGCAGGAGAATCGCTTGACCAGAGGAAGTGGAGGTTGAAGTGAGCCAAGATCACACCACTGCACTCCAGCCTGGGTGACAGAGACTCCATCTTAAAAAATAGTAATAATAGGCCAGGCGCAGTGGCTCACACCTGTAATCCTAGCACTTTGGAAAGCCAAGGTGGGTGGATCACCTGAGGTCAGGAGTTCGAGACCAGCCTGGCCAATATGGCGAAACCCCATGTCTACTAAAACTAAAAAAAAAATGGGCCAGGCGCTGTGGCTCATGTCTGTAATCCCAGCACTTTGGATCATGAGGTCAGGGGTTCGAAACCAGCCTGGCCAGCATGGTGAAACCCTGTCTCTACTAAAATTACAAAATTATTTGGGCATGCTGGCGAATGCCTGTAGTCCCAGCTACTTGGGAGGCTGAGGCAGGAAAATCACTTGAACCAGGGAGGCAGAGGTTGCAGTAAGCTGAGATCGTGCCACTGCACTCCAGCCTAGGCCACAGAGCAAGATCCTGTCTCAAAAATAATAATAATAATAGTAATAAAATAAAAAAATAAACTGGGGCATGGAGAGCCCCAAATGCTAGTAATCTGTTGGCAGCAGGAGCCACTGTTCAAATGGGGAACTAAGGAAGGAGGTGACATTAAGCTGTTGGAGTATTGGGAATAGATGGAGGAGGACAGGGGTAAGAAAGCCCAGTACAGAGAGATGAGAGCCTGGATTAGGGCCTCGGCAGTGAAAACCGTGTGGAGACAAGTGGGGACAAGAGCTGCCTCCAGTGGGGAAACCATCTGATCAGATTGGCCCCAAGTAGATAAGTACAGGGGGCTTTGCCTGGATGGATCCACCTTGGCAGTCCCCTTGTTACCACCTCCCGTGGGAGAGAGCTGTGGCAAGCTTCCTTCCCCAACCCCAATATCAGAGTGACACAGGGACAGCACTCCCCTTCTGCATTGTCAATTCACGAGTCTGGGGGAATAAGCCCTACCTGAGGGATATCGAAAGGACTAGGAAGTCTGGGATCCACAGACATCATCCCAAAAAAGGGATCTGGAGCATCTTCTAGGGTTTCCATCATGGCCAGGTGGTTAGGAAGCAGTAGGCTGGGTCTGGGAGAGAATGTAGGCCGTCAGGGACTGAGGCTGAGCTAGGCTGAGGCCAAATTAGCAGGTGTTCCATCAAAGGCCCAGGGAACACTCACAGCTCAGTCTCCATATCTATTCGGATCTGCAGCTGGGCACGGTGGAGGCGCTCCAAGATGTGCTGGATGTCCTCTGTGGGCAGGGAGGGCGAGGTAGACAGCCAGCTTAGCAGACAGCTGCTCAGCCCGCCCCACCTCTGAGGGTTCCCAGCCTTACCCACGAGGTACTGGCATTGTTGAGAATAGACGCGGATCACACCGATCTGAAGTTGGGCTGAGAGATAGAGGGAGAAGCGGGGCCGTGGCAGGCCGGGCTGCGGGGGTTGCACTCGTACCAGCACATAATTGAGGATTTCCTCGCTGGGGAACAATGGGCCGTGATTACCGCTGCGCCCAGGACTGGGCCCACAGCGTTGCCCACCCCATCCCCTAACTCACCCCCCGCCCCAGGCCCTCCTTCCCTTTTCTGAGCCTTACCAGGTCTTCACCACATTCACCCTCAGGTATTCGCGCTTCACCAACCGGCTGCCGCGCGTCGCTGCCAGCCTGAAGTGGGTGGGGAAGGTGGGAAAATGGGGACGGAGGGGGAGCTGTCAGGCTGGGATTCCGGCCAGCATCCCCCATCGCACGCCCACGGGCCCCACCCTTACCAGATGGTGGCAAAGCAGCCGGTGTGGCGCTGAAGCACGTTGGGATAGTAGAACATCGTCCCTCTGGCCTTTCACCCTCAACTCCACCAGATTGCCGTTTGGATCTGAGTCAGAATTCTTTAGGGCACAGAATTCCCAACACCTTGGAGAGAAGTCAGGATTTGGACTTCTCTGGTGGCAAGGTGGGTGCACCCAGAAAACCAAGTTAATGAGGCAATGAACAATTGGTGTATACACGATTACCGGGATAACTGAGATGCAGGAGATGGGCGCCCCTCTCTGTGGACCCTCAGTGGATCCGCTCGCCACGTGATGCGTCGAATTTGAGCCTTCTGGGTTGGGTTCCAGGTTGGAGATGCAGAGCTCCAAGGGGACGCCCGGGCCGGAATCCAAAACAGGTCCCGAGGGAGCACGGTGTCCTCCACAGCAGGCCTCGGTCCTCGAGCGCTGGGAGCGATATCAGGCCCCTGGGACTTTCACTGGCTTGGGCGGCCGCGGTGTGGGTCCAGGATGCCTCCCGCAGGACTAGATGGCACCGCGGGAAGCGCACGCTCCGGAGCCCCGCACCTCGCTCCTCATTAGATGGCGGCTTTTGCCAGGACAGCCAATGGGGAACAGGGGTCGGGTCGGGAGCGCCAAGTAGCCTAGGCTCGAGGCAACAGGGTCTCCCGAGGCAGCCAGCAAACCAATCATAAGGACTCTGCGTGCCGCTGGGGTCCATTGTGAGGTGTTCTGACCAATGGGATCTGGTTCTCGCCTCTAGTAACAGGCGCTCCTTCCTTGACCAATGAGCGCATCCCCGCCGCTCGCCTCTAGCCTGGCAACAAGGGCGCCTCAATTGGTAGGGGAGGTCGGGTCACGTCAGGGGCAACTGTGCTGGGTCTCTTCCGGGTGCCAAGATGTACCTTGCAACGCGCCTGACCTGAGGTTAGACCCCGCCCTCCCCCCAGTCCACAAACTTCTACTTTGTTTCCATCTAGGGCGTGTCATGTGCTGCAGAGGTAGAAAGATGTGAGATGAGGCCGGGAACGGTGGCTCACGCCTGTAATCATAGCACTTTGGGAGGCTCAGGAGGGCGGATCATGAGGTCAGGAGTTCGAGACCAGCCTGATCAACATGGTGAAACCCCGTCTCTACTAAAAATACAAAATTAGCTGCTCGTGGTGGCACGAGCCTGTAATCCCAGCTACTCAGGAGGCTGAGGCAGGAGAATGCTTGAACCTGGGAGGCGGAGGTTGCAGTGAGCCGAGATTGTGCCACTGCACTCCAGCCTGGACAAGAGAGCAAGACTCCATCTCAAAAAAAAAAAAAAGATATGAGATGATAGTGTTGGAGCCCCCACAGGTCAATGAGGAAGAAGTCAATCGTTTTTGTTTTGTTTTGTTTTGTTTTGAGATGGAGTCTCTCACTGTTGCCTAGGCAGGAGTGCAGTGGCGCTATCTCTGCAATCTCGGCACACTGTATCCTCCGCCCCCCCATCCCCTCAGGTTCAAGCGATTCTCGTGTCTCAGCCTCCCGAGTAGCTGGGATTACAGGCGCCCTCCACCACACCCAGTTAATTTTTGTATTTTTAGAAGAAACGGGGTTTCACTATGTTGGTCAGGCTGTTTCTTTTCTTTTTGAGATGGAGTTTCACTCTGTCACCCAGGCTGGAGTGCAATGGCGGTCTCAGCTCACTGCAACCTCCGCCTCCCCAGTGCAAGGGATTCTCCTGCCTCAGCCTCCCGAGTATCTGGGATTACAGGCACCCACCACCACCCCTGGCCAGATTTTGTATTTTTTAGTAGAGACAGGGGTTTCACCATATTGGTCAGGCTGGTCTCGAACTCCTGACCTCAGGTGATCCGCCCGCCTTGGCCTCCCAAAGTGTTGGGATTGCAGGTGTGAGCCACCGCCCCCAGCTGAAGAAGTCAATCTTACACGAAACTCCAAAAGGACTTACTGGGGTCACTTCCTAAATCTGAACAACTTAGGTTATGGGCATACCACATGGTCCTTTCCCAGCTGCCAGTGTTCTCCCGGCTGAAATAGACTTTAGCTTTGTTGGATGCAGCACATACTTCCCAGCCTGGAAAAGCCATATTCTCAAACAATTGTTTTTGTGTAAATTTAAGAGGTATGGTTGTAATAACAAATAACCCTTGTCTCTATGCCTCCTACCTTTGCACAGCCATTTCTTTGGCCTAGAATGCCCTTCTCTGCCTTGACTGCAGGGCATACTTCTTCCTAAGACTTACCTCTTACTGCAGCTGAGCTGACCTTATCTTCTTATCTTCAATTTGGGAGTTTTTTTTTTTTTTTTTCCCTGAGATGGAGTTTTGCTCTTGTCGCCCAGGCTGGAGTACAATGGACCATCTCGGCTCACTGCAATCTCTGCCTCCTGGGTTCAAGCAATTCTCCTACCTAAGCCTCCTGGGTAGCTGGGACTACAGGCGTGTGTCACTACGCCCAGCTAATTTTTTTGTATTTTTAGTAGAGACAGAGTTTCACCATGTTGGCCAGGCTGGTCTCAAACTCCTGACCTCAAGTGACACCCACCTCAGCCTCTCAAATTACATGCCTATACTCACAGCTACTTAGAAGGCTGAGATAGGAGGATCAATTGAGCCGAAGGTCGAGGCTGCAGTGAGCCATGATCACACTACTGTGCTCCAGCGTGGGTGATTCTGTCTTTAAAAAAAAAGAAAGAAAGAAAGAAAGAAAAAAAGAAATACATGAAGTGACTGTAAGTGCTACGAAGAAAATGAGGCCGCATAGGAGGATAGAATAATGATGACTGCTATTTAGGGAGGGTATTTCAGGGAAGCCTTGCCCCCTCTCTTAAGAGATACAATTTGAAGAAAGTGGGTAAGTCATGTGCTTACTTGAAGGAAGAGTAATTTAGACAAAAGAACTGGCAACTGCAAAGATCCTGAGGTAGAAATGTGTTTGGGGGGTTCAAGGAGCCTGAAGCAAAGCGACAGGGGAAGAATGGCAAGGGGCAAGAGAAAGAGGAGGGCAGGGTCACATCACAGGACCTCAGAGGTCGTTATGGGGATTTGGGCTTTTACCCTGGGTGATTTGGGACCCAGTGAAAGGTTCTGAGCAGAGGAGTGACATGATCAGAATTGTGTGTGAAAAGGATCTCTACTGTGTTGAGAATAGCTTAAGGTAGACACGAGTGGAAACAGATGTGAAGGAAGCAGAGAAGATATGAGAGATGGTGGTAGTTTGTTCCAAAGTGTTACTGATGGAAACAGAGAGAAGTGGTCAGACCCTGGATACATACTGAAGGAATAGTGACAGGATTTGCTGAGGAATGGATGTGGGGTATGATAGAAAATGGAAGGAGGCCAGGTGTGGTAGCTCACACCTGTAATCCAGCAGTTTGGAGGCGAGTGACTGCGACTATAGGCGCACACCACCACACCCTGGCTTCTTTTTTTTTTTTTCACTTTTTTTTTTGAGAATGGAGTTTCGTTCTTGTTGCCAGGCTTGGAATGCAATGGCACGATATTGGCTCACTGCAACCTCTGCCTCCTGGGTTCAAGCCGATTCTCCTGCCTCAGCCTCCCAAGTAGTTGGGATTACAGGCATGTGCCACCACGCACAGCTAATTTTTTAAAATATTTTTAGTAGAGATGGGGTTTCACCATGTTGGTCAGGCTGATCTCGAACTTCTGACCCAAGTGATCCACCCACCTCGGCCTCCAAAGTGCAGTGATTACAGTGTAGCAGCCACCGTGCTTGGCCTCCCCTGGCTAATTTTTAAGAATTTTGGGAAGCCAGACAAGTGCTCACACCTGTAATCCCAACACTTTGGGAAGCTGAGGGGCAGATCACCTGAAGTCAGGAGTTCAAGATAGCCTGGCCAACATGGTGAACTCTGCCACTAAACATACAAAAATTAGCCTGGCATCATGGCGTGCACCTGTAATCCCAGTATACTCAGGAGGCTAAGGCAGGAGGATCACTTGAAACCCAGGAGGTGAGGTTGCAGTGAGCCAAGTTGCACTACTGTACTCCAGCCTGGCGACAGAGTGAGACTCTGTCTCAAAAAGAAAAAAAAAAGAAAAAAGATTTTTTTGTAGAGGTAGGTTTTCACTATGTCACCCAGGCTAAGTCTCAAACTCCTGGGCTAAGGCAGTCTTCTCATTTCGATCTTCCAAAGTGCCAGGATTACAGGTGTGTAAACCACCCGCGCCCAGCTCGAAAAGGACTTTTTTTTTGAGACGGAGTTTTGCTCTTGTGCCCAGGCTCAAGTGCAGTGGTGCGATCTCGGCTTACTGCAACCCTCCATCTCCTGGGTTTAAGTGAATTCTCCCTGCCTCAAGGCTCCCAAGTGGCTGGGATTACAGGTGTCCACCACCACGCCTGGCTAATTTTTTGTATGTTTAGTAGAGGCAGGTTTCACCATGTTGGCCATCCCTGGTCTCAAACTCCTGACCTCAGTGATCCACCCGCCTCAGGCCTCTCAAATTACTGGGATTACAGGCTTGAGCCTCAAATGGCCCGCCAATTTTTTTTTTTAATTAAAAGAATTAAAAATAAATGGAAGTCAAGGAGATAATTTAGACCTTGTACAGAGAAGGTCCAGGAGGGATTTCATCACATTGCATCACATTGAGGCACAACAGGGATTGTACAACTCTGCACTCAGTACCTCATTTCTTCACTGCCTAGTGCAGAGCCTGGTCTAGGTACTTGGCTTCCCAGGGGATGATGGACAAGACTGAAGGGAAGAAGGAGGTCCATGAGGCAGGGAGGCTCAAAGGCAGCACTGAAGCTTGCCAAATGAGGCAGCAAGAAGGTCCTAGGAGGACTTAGGCATCCAGATTTGATCATGTGTATGAGCCCATTGAGGGCTGAAGAGTGAAATTGACAGGAGGAAGTCTGGAAAGCTAAGCTGGTTCCATATGCAGGAAGAAGGAACTGAAGGCTGTGGCCTGGGTTGGAACTAGTTTGCTGGAAGTGAGTGTACAAAAAAGTAGTGACAGGTGCCCTTGTGGTGAAGGAAAAACTTCCAGTTGGTAGTAAAAATGAACACAGGGGAAAGGGAAAGGAGTGTCACCAATTTGGAGGCCTCAGGCTCATGAACAGCTGTTTGTGACAATGGCAGTCTAGGCCGGAGTGCCTTTTTTGTTGTGTTTTTCTTGAGATACTGTCTTGCTCGTTGCCAAGGCTGGAGTCACAATAGCACAATCGGCTCACTGCAACCTCTGCCTCCCGGGTTCAACTCTTCCTGCCTCAGCCTCCCAAGTAGCTGAGATTACAGGTGCCCCGCACCATGCCTGGCTAATTTTTGTATTTTTAGAAGATGAGGTTTCACCATGTGGCCAGGCTGGTCTCGAACTCCTGATCTCAGTGCATCCACCTCCATTGGCCTCCAACAAGTCGATGGATCTATAGCCG